AACGGGGAAATCTGTCTCTCTTGCACGTCAAAGGTGAGGGTCAGTTAACTAAGGCCAGCTGATGCAACCACCCAACCGTTAGCAACGTGTGAGAGAGACAGATTTGAACGTTAAATATTGTATCTCTCGAGAGAGATCTCTACTTGTGCTTCAGCGCCGTACATAAGAACGAACAGTCTATTTTTTATACATGGCTATGTTTGTCTATATATTCATGTGTGTACTACGCGCGCGCATATCATACTATTTTTGTTAACTTATATATAGATGTCTCTGTATTACACTGATCAGCAGACGATAGTGCCTTTCATGAACAATAACTTAATAATCTAATTCCAAGCTATTTAACCCAATAACCCAACAGGCCAATAAGTGGCCTCATGAGTTTGAATAAATAATAAAATTTATGAACTAACAAGGCAAGCGACAATCCCTGCACGACCCTAAGCACTTGCTGAACGCTTCCCTCCTAACAAATCTCAGCCGAGATCTCATCTGATATCTCATGTGATTTCTCACCTGAGATCTCAGATGAGAATTTATTTGGCATAAGATCTCACTTGAGATCTCAGGTGAGAAATCACATGAGAAATCTGATAAGATCTCCGGTAAGATTAGTGAGGAGGGTTTAATGATTAATAAAGTAAAATAATAACACAAACGCCAATCACCACACAAGCCGGGGGAGCTTACTGGCTTCTTTAATTATTGATACAATAAATATAATACCGCAAGTGACAATCATTGCACAACCGGAGGAGACCACTGGCTGCTTTAATTATTGATAAAATAAAATAACAACGCAAGCGCCTATCCCTATCACACCATCCGGGGCGCTTACTGGTCGTTTTAATTATTTATGATTAATAAAATAACGCAACCGCCAATCCTTACACACCCCGGGGGAGCTTACTGGCTGCTTTAATTATTTATGATTAATAAAATAACGCAAGTACTAATCTCCACACTACCCAGGAGAGCTTACTGGCTGCTTGAATTATTGATACAATAAAACAATAACACAAGCACCAATCCCCACACAACCTGAGGCGCTTACTGGTCGCTTTGATACAGATCGAGGCCTGAGATGTAATAGGCAGTAACCTAATTTAATTAATTAGTAGGAAAGTAATATAGCTGAAGTGGATTAAATTACCTGATAACTTTTTGCTTTTGCATGGTGTGAAAGTTTTAGGTATTTTTCATAGAAAATATTATTTTTAAGTATTTATTGTTGTTTTTTAAATATATATTGCAAGTATTTTAAACCACCACGAAATTCACCGAAAAATAACGTATTAAATTGAAGAATCATTGTATAGGTGTAAGGATTTAAGTATAGATTGACTCATCTCAAGATTCAATCGACTGATTTGGATTGAAAGTGGATTTTTTATGTTAATCAGATGCTTATGTTTTCTTTGATTTGAAAATTACTTTATTTAAAGTAAATTTTTTAGATCTGAAGGTAAATGATAGACTTACAGGGGGTTTTTACCACTATATAGCACACAATTGAAATGGATTTTCAAAGTTGACTGATTAAATACAATAATAAAAAAATAGTGTAACACGTAATAGGGGTACTTGTAAAGATAGAAGAAACGTTGGTATACAAAATTTACTATATCACAATTAAGTAAGATCCTTCATTTTAGAATCAGACACAAAATACAGGAATCTTTTTCGTTTTCAATTCGATTTCAATTCGATTTCAATTCGATTTCAATTTTTTTAAGCTTGTTGTACTCTTTCAAAAACTTAGTATACTCTTTCAAAGTGACATGATGTTAAAGTTTCCAAATAGTACAAAAAGTTTTT